CCATTGTGCCATATGGTACAATGGTGCCATATGGTACAATGGTGCCATGTCATACAATGGTATATGGTACAATGGTATTGTATGGTAGAGTGGTACCATATGGTACAATGTACCATATGGTACATTGTACCATATGGTACATTGTACCATATGGTACATTATACCATATGGTACAGGGTACAGGGACCCTAATGGAAATAAGTCTGTCTGACTTTTTTGGGTTATCCTAGGTTCTCCAAACATATGGTGCTAAGTATGATATTCTATGTAACTTTATTTGTATATAACTAAATAAACTTACTTATGATGCCACATGCACTTAAGTAAGTTTATTCAGGTGTACAGAAATACAATTACATAGATTATCATACATAGCAGCATACGTATAAAATCCTAGGATAACCCAAAAAAGTCAGGGTGACTTGTTTCCATAGTTATCCCTGTATCTGTACCATATGGTGTCCTGTACTGTATGGTACCCTGTACCATATGGTACCCTGTGCCATATGGTACCCTGTACCATATGGTACCCTGCACCATATGCTATCCTGTACTGCATGGTACCCTATACCATATAGAACAATGTACCATATGGTACCCTGTAACATATGATACCGTGTACCATATGGTCAATAGGTGTTGGTGGCATGAGACACCAGCCAAGACTGAGTGAGTGGCGACACAAGCTAGCTACTGACTCCGCAGTTTCCGAGACAAAGTACTTTGTCATCCACCTCAAGGAACACTTCAAGTTCCTGCACACTGTAAATATATAATAGAACATTACTAATATACAACATTTTTGCATATTTTTGTTGTAAACAATTATTGTAAACAAAATAATAATGAAAATATTAGTATGTTTATTGTGTTGAATACAACAGTACTATATACAGTAGTACCATATTGTACAATGAACCATATGGTATCATTGTATTGTATGGTACAATGTACCATATGGTACCATTGCATTATATGGTACCATTACACTATATGGTACCATAAGGTACCATTGCACCATATGGTACCATTGTACCAAATGGTGCCATTGTACCATATGGTACCATTGTATCATATGGTACCATTGTATCATATGGTGCCATTGTATCATATGGTACCATTGTACCAAATGGTGCCATTGTACCATATGGTACCATTGTACCATATGGTACCATTGTATTGTATGGTACCACTGTATTATATGGTGCCATTGTACCATATGGTACCATGGCAATATAAACACAAATGCAGTATAATGTGATCCTTTATTGACTACGTTTCGCCCACACAGTGGGCTTTTTCAAGTCACAAACAGAACTACCTGGGGTGGAAGGAACGCGAGTATTTATAGTCCGGCTGAGGTCAGGTGAAGAATGCTGCATCTGATGATGTACCGAGTTGGGTTGTAGAGTCTAAAAACTTGGGTAGCTTGGAAAGGAGACTGGACAAGTTTGTGAGCAGACCTTCTACAGTGTTCTTATGTGGGATAGCGATGAAGAAGTTTCTTGGCAAGTGGTTCAGCTATGTTATAGAAGCCACTATTCTGGTTGAAGTTGTCGGATATAGAAATAAGTGATGATTCCAGGATTCTTCGGTATTGGGTGTTGTCTTCTGTGGCGATAAGTCTTGACTTATCGCCACAGAAGACAACACCCAATACCGAAGAATCCTGGAATCATCACTTATTTCTATATCCGACAACTTCAACCAGAATAGTGGCTTCTATAACATAGCTGAACCACTTGCCAAGAAACTTCTTCATCGCTATCCCACATAAGAACACTGTAGAAGGTCTGCTCACAAACTTGTCCAGTCTCCTTTCCAAGCTACCCAAGTTTTTAGACTCTACAACCCAACTCGGTACATCATCAGATGCAGCATTCTTCACCTGACCTCAGCCGGACTATAAATACTCGCATTCCTTCCACCCCAGGTAGTTCTGTTTGTGACTTGAAAAAGCCCACTGTGTGGGCAAAACGTAGTCAATAAAGGATCACATTATACTGCATTTGTGTTTATATTGCCATTGTGTCGGTATTTTATACCATTTATTTCCACCATATGGTACCATTGTACCATATGGTACTATTGTATCATATGGTACCATTGTATCATATGGTGCCATTGCACCATATGGTACCATTGTACCAAATGGTGCCATTGTACCATATGGTACTATTGTACCATATGGTACCATTGTATCATATGGTACCATTGTATCATATGGTGCCATTGTACCATATGGTACCATTGCATCATATGGTGCCATTGTACCATATGGTACAATTGCACCCTATGGCACCATTGTACCATATGGTACTATATGGTACCGTTGTATTCAACACAACCGCACCAATATTTTCATCATTTTGTTTACAATAAACTTGTAAACAAGTTTTGTAAGCAATATAATGATAAACAAATTAGTGCAGTTATTGTGTTGAATACAATGAGTGTACACTTATACAATATACATTATACTGGTCTCGCAGGCCACAAATGTTATTAGAAAAAGAAAAAAATTAGAAAAGAAAAGAAAAAAAGCATAAAAAACATAAAATAAAAAAATGGGATTTTGTGGAAGTCACCGAAGTTGCTGCCACCCGGTCATTTTGGGTCAACTTCCCGCCGCTGTATCTCAGTAAGTACTGATCAGAAAAAAAAAATTTTGTCTTATTACCTTCACAAAAAATACACTCTTTAATTCTGTAAGAAAAAATAATTTTTTTTTTTTTTCAAAATTTCTTGGACACTGGAGCACCACTTCAGATTTTGGCCTTGGACCCTGAAGGGGTTAAAGAGGTGTGTGCAATGTCGACTAGGGTGCAAGCTTTTGTAGAAAAATACCACCCTGACAAAGCTGAAACAAGCCATATCTGCAACATGTTTAGTGACAAAGCCCTGTCCCACTTCAGGGAAATCTTAAAGAGATGCCAGAAACAGAGCACTCTGGACAGTTATTTTGTGTTACTCTCAAGCTGGTCCTAGTGGCAATAAAAGACATAGAAGGGAAGTAACCCCAGAGAAGGCTTTGCTACCTAAAGTCTTTATGGAGGGGGATTCCCCTTTTAAACACTAACTCCTCCCTCTTTCCTCCTCCCTATCTTCCAGAAGCCAGCATTAGCCTTCAATAAAGGTATGTAATACTTACATAACTGTTAAAAAAATTATTTTCTTTTGCGAATATTTTTGTTTGGAATGGATTAATTGTATTTCCATTAATTTTTATGGGAAATATTAATGTTCTATTATATATTTACAAATGTACAGGAACTCGACACATTATTTGAAGTGGATGAGAGTGCTTTGTCTTGGAAACTGCCGAGTCAATAGCTAGCTTGTGTCGCCACTCAGTCTTGGCTGGTGCCTGCTGCCACCAACACGTCCTACTGATCATATGGTATATGGTATCATATGTTACAGGGTACCATATGGTACTTTGTACTATATGATATAGGGTACCATACAGTACAGGATAACATATGGTACAGGATAACATATGGTGCAAGGTACCATATGGTACAGGGTGCTATATGGTACAGGGTGCTATATGGTACAGGGTACCATATGGTACAGGGTACCATATGGTACAACTACAGGGATCCCTATGGAAATAAGTCACCATGACTTTTTTGGGTTATCCTAGGATTTTATATGTACTATGTTGCTATGTATGATAATCTATGTAATTGTATTTCTGTACACCTGAATAAACTTACTCAAGTGCATGTAGCATCATAAGTAAGTTTATTTAGTTATACATGAATAAAGTTACACAGAATATCATACTTAGCAGCATATGTTTGGAGAACCTAGGATAACCCAAAAAAGTCAGACAGACTTATTTCCATTAGGGTCCCTGTACCCTGTACCATATGGTACAATGTACCATATGGCACATTGTACCATATGATACCACTGTATGACATGGCACCATTGTACCATATGGTACCATTGTACCATATGGTACAATGGTACCATATGGTACAATTCCTCTTCAGCTCCACTTCCATCAGTCTTAGAACTAAGTTGTGAAGAGGAGAGTCAGAATTCGCCCGGAGAGTGAGTGGGGAGTGAGAGCTTCCTTGCCGCCAGGCATGATGTACAAAGCTACTTTGCCGGTGTTCCCACAATGCCATGCGGGCGTCCAGATTTTTTCTATAGTGTGCATACTGACCACCCAGACCCATTCTCTCAGATGTAGGCCTACCAGCCTTCTCCCACTAAATTTGACGCCGCTAAAATTTTGGCATAGATCTACGGTTTGGACCCTGAAAGGGTTAACACAACAAAAGTCAATTGATACTTCACTGGATATTTTCATAATGTCAAGTTATATCATAAGTTTCTATAGGAAAATGCAATGAGCTCAACATATTCTTTGTACAGCATAACATTCCTCCTATCCCTACCTAGGTTCTTAAGCAGGGTCCACTTTATATGAGAAAACCTTATTAACCCTTAAACTGTCCAAACGTAGATCTACGTTTGCATTGCTAGCGCTCCGAACGTAGATCTATATTTTTTTACATTTGAAAGCATGTAAAATAAAACGTAGATCTACGTTCAGAACACTAACAGTGCAAACGTAGATCTATGTTTGGACAGTTGAAGGGTTAACCACTGGACATTATTCTCATCACATACCTGAAAGAGTAACAGCTTGGTGGCCAGACCTTCGAACCAGACCCCTAGGACTAGTTACTATTAACATACCTGGGAGACAGCAACAGCTTAGTGCCCAGAAATCAGAGCCAGACCTCTGGCACTAGTCACTATTAATGTACCTGGGAGACAGCAACACCTTGGTGGCCAGACCTCAGAGCCAGACCTCCGGCCCTAGTTACAAGTAACATACCTGGGGGACAGCAACAGCTTGGTGGCCAGACCTCGGAGCCAGACCTCCAGCACTGGTCACTAGTAACACACCTGGGAGATAGCAAAAGCTTGGTGACCAGACCTGGGAGCCAGACCTCCAGCATTAGTCACCAGTAACATACCTGAGAGACAGCAACAGCCTGGTGGCCAGACCTGGGAGCCGGGCCTCCTGGACTTGTAACTTTTAACCAGCGGTTTTGCTTGATAGTGTAGAAGAACAAGTCATTGAACATTAACGTCTGAAATACAAAAAATACATAATTTTTACATATTATATTCACTTAAAAATTTTAAATCTACAAAGGCCATTTTGGGGAATGGGAGGTAATCAAGTTTGATCCAAGGAGGGGGAAGCACAAATTCAATGGATCAAGATCTCTTCAAATGAATCAGGGCATTTTCCCTTGAAAGCTTTCACAAGGTAAAATATACAGGCAGGCCCCACTTTACAGCATTTCACCACTGAAGTAGTTTTCAATTACAGTGGTCCCTCAATAATCGTCCGGCCTGAAAGTCGTCCATTTCGGAAATAGTCCCATTATTTCGTCTAAACATTGGCTCGCAAATGGTCCGTTAACTCGCTAATCGTCCTTCGTCCGGGACAGGTACTCACGCTCTGAGCCGCCTGGGCCTGCCTTCCCAGCCAGTGTGCCATTGTTTACCAGTGAGCGACAGTCCCCTCACATGCTCCTACGAAATATTTCATAATATTTAATTGATTTTAGTGCTTGCAAGAGCTAAATAAGCTACCATGGCTCCAAAGAAAGTTTCTAGTGCCAGCCCTTTGGTAAAGAATGTGAGAAACACATAATTTATGAAAAAGTTTGTAGAAAAATACAAAGGTGGTGGTGGTAGAGTGTAAGCAGTTGTGATAGTGGTTGATGGCAGTAGTGATGGTGGTAGAAGGTAGTAGTGATGATGGTAACAGTTGTAATAGTGGTAGAAGGTCGTATTGATGGTGGTAGAGGGTTCCTTCTTTAGTGATTCAGCGATTCTACCAACTCCTCCAATGTTGTTGGAGTTATATAGGGCTACAGAAAACACCACCGCCTCAGCTGCTGCTTCACTACCATTATGGATGGCTTACTCTCGGTGGCCCTTATACACCCAACAACAACACAACACAACACCTCTCGTGACATACGTAATTCAATTCAATTCAACTTTATTCTCTATAAGGGTTACAATGTGAGGTTTACAGGTTTTGGGTATTGTGTGGTTTACATGTGATAAAATACTAATTACAGAGGGGGCCACTAGGACACCTAGCATGGCTAGGCATTTCGGGCAGGCTTAGATTAATTCTTAACATTAAATCCTTACAGATTATGGTATTAAGGCTAAGTGACTACATCATAATTTGTGAGTTTAGAAATATGAATGCTTTTGTTTTGGCACAATACAAAGTGTCTATACTGGAGTATCATAGGCAAACTTATGACTAGTTAGGATTTATTATTTTAAGATTAAGATTAGTATTTCTGGGTTTATAGTCAGTGGGTGAGTGAGTGTAATTGTGAACCACCAGGTGGTTATCATGTAGTTAGTTGTCGGGGTGTATCAGGGAGATAAGATGTTTTCTAACTGTAGTTTTGAAAGTGTTGAATGTGTTTGCAGTTCTAGAGTTTTCAGGTAGGGTGTTCCAGATTTCAGGTCCTTTGAAATACACTGAATTTTTGTAAAGGTTTAGTCAAACACGGGGAATGTCATAGAGATGTTTGTGTCTGGTGTTATGCCTGTGGATCCTGTCACAACTATCAAGAAAGGTTAATATTGGAATTTAAGGTCCTGTAGATATAAATTGCACAGTAGTAAGTGTGGATGTTCTGAACAGGGAGTAAGTTTAGATCTATGAAGAGTTGGGGGGTGTGTTGCCAGGGATGGGAATTAGTGATTATTCTTACTGCGGCTTTTTGTTGGGTTATTATTGGCTTTAGGTGTGTTACTGCAGTTGAACCCCAAGCACAGATAGCATAGGTGAGGTATGGATATATAAGTGAATATATACATGTATAAGTGTGAGAAGGGCAGTTTGCGGCACGTAGTATCGTATCTTGGAGAGGATCCCCCACAGTTTTGGATACTTTTTTGTTATGTGTTGGATAGGGGTGCTGAAATTTAGGTTGTTGTCGAGGTATAGGCCAAGGAATTTGCCCTCATTATGTCTGGCAATTAGAGTGTTGTCGATCTTAATGTTAAGTTGCGCAACACCTGCTCTGCTACCAAACATAATACAGTAGGTTTTGCCAGTGTTAAGTTTAAGTTTATTGGCTGTCATCCAAGTCGATATTTTGAGCAGCTCTTTGTTAACAATGGTGTTGAGGGTGGCAAGATTAGGGTGGGAGATGACATAAGTTGTGTCGTCAGCAAAGAGAATGGGTTTCAGGTGCTGGGATATGCTTGGAAGATCATTGATGTAAATGAGGAAGAGCAGGGGTCCAAGGACACTTCCCTGCAGAACTCCAGTATCAAGTGGCAGTATTGATGAGGCTGTGTCTTTAATGGTGACATACTGATACCTATTAGAAAGGTAGGATTTAAAATATGCAAGCACATGGCCTCTTATACCATAGTGGTCAAGTTTGTGGAGTAAGATGCTGTGGTCTACTGTGTCAAACGCTTTTCTTAGGTCAATAAAAATTCCTAGCGGATATGACTTATTTTATTCATTCTAGAGTATATTCCATGTTTCTATGTTATTAATATTGTTTATTATGTCATATTAGTTGAATTGTGATAGATAAATAAGCCGTAGAGTTGATATTAGTGTCATATTCTCCAACAATAAACTTGTCATCCCTCCCTCACACAAACAAGTCTCCAATAAGAACACAAGAGGCCTGCTGGCCCATACTAGGCTGGTCCTTCACAAATCCAACCCACTAACAGAACAAATGCTACCCAAGCAATAAGCTCAGGTGCAAGACCGATTCAAACCAACCCCTCTCACTCATGTATTTATCTAACCTAAATTTGAAACTACCCAATGTTTTAGCTTCGATCACCCTACTAGGCAGACCGTTCCACTCATCAACTACCTCTATTACCAATGTTCATTTATACATTTTATTAGTGCTTTACATTTATTTGGCATTTTTCCTGCATGTAAATCTATATTTATGCTAGGGAAGTGACCCCTGAAGTGACCTAGAGTCCTTATGGAGGAAGATTCCCCTTCCAAACAATAACCTCTCTTCCCTCTCTCCTCCTCCCTGTCTTCCATTCATCAACAACAGCCTTCAATAAAGGTAACTGTCATGTTGAATGTTTATTCTTTTGTGCATGTAAATCTATCTTTTAAGTAAAAAAAAAAATTGTTGTTGATACTTCTGGGTCTCTGGAATGAATTAATTGGATTTACAGGTGTCTCTCAACATTCGCGAGGGTTAGGGGATCAAGAGCCTCGCGAATGTTGAAAAACCGTGAATGTTTGGTGCCCCAATATATTGTAGGGAAATATAATACAATACTGCTTAACTTGTTGAACCATGAACAATCATAAAATACATGAAAACGTCGTAAGTTGTACTAAATATATACATGTTATGCTTTAATAACATGTATGTTATTAAAACTATAATAAGCACTGCCCTAAAAAAACTAAACAGATGACAGCTAAGAGACTGAACAGTCCCTGGCTAACACCCAGCATTCTCAAATCCATAAATACAAAACACCAATATGAAAAACAGTACAGAATGGGTCACATAACCAGAGACCAAACAAAACGTTACTTGTCAATCCTAACCAGCCTGATAAGAAGGGCAAAAAAATTGTATTATGAGAACAGATTATCCAACTTACGAGGTGATATAAAAAAGACCTGGAAAACCCTATCAGAAATTCTGGGAACAAAAAAGATATCACGAAATAGCGAAATAAAATTAGCAAAATCAGATGAACCCCAACTCCCACCAACAGAAACAGCAAACAGACTCAATGATTTCTTCTCCACTATAGGACAAAACCTTGCCAATAAAATCCCAAGCTCAGATACCCCACCAAATGACTACCTCACCGGTAACTACCCGAGCACACTGTTCCTAGCTCCGACTAACCCATACGAAGTCTCCCTTATTATCAACGCACTAAAAAACAAGGCAGGAAATTTAAATACCTTACCACCCTTTATATACAAAAAAGTGTCACAAGTGCTATCACCAATCATTGCAACACTCTTTAACAAATCCATTGAATCCTCCACCTTCCCTACAGTACTCAAAATAGCAAGGGTCACCCCGATCCACAAAGGAGGAGACCAAACAGAGTTGAATAACTATAGGCCAATATCCAACTTACACCCTCTCTCAAAAATCTTCGAAAAATTAATTCATAAACGAATCTACTCCTACCTTATCTCCCAAAACATACTCAACCCCTGCCAATTTGGATTCAGGCCTAATAAAAATACTAATGATGCTATTATACACATGCTAGAACATATATACACTGCAATAGAGAAAAAAGAAGTCCCACTGGGGATCTTCATTGACTTACGTAAAGCTTTTGATACAGTTGACCATGACTTGCTCCACGTAAAATTGTCACACTATGGTATAAGAGGGCACTCCCTCAACTACCTCAAGTCATACCTCAGCAACAGAAACCAATATGTGTATGCAAATGGGGCAAACTCTTCTGCACAACCAATTACAGTTGGTGTCCCACAGGGAAGTGTCCTTGGCCCTCTTCTCTTTCTCCTATACATAAATGACCTACCAAATGCTTCGCAATTACTCAAACCCACACTATTTGCAGATGACACTACATACGTCTTCTCCCACCCGAGCCCAGTCACGCTAGCCAATACTGTAAATACCGAATTACAGAAAATATCTACCTGGATGAGGACTAACAAACTTACACTAAACATTGACAAAACCTACTTCATTCAGTTTGGTAACAGAGCTACAGATGTCCCTCTTAACATAATGATAAACGGATCACCTATCACAAAGCTAACAGAGGGAAAATTCTTAGGAATCCACCGTGATAATAGACTCAAATTTCATACACATATACAACAAATTTCTAAAAAAATTTCCAAGACTGTAGGCATACTATCGAAGATACGGTACTATGCTCCACAGTCAGCCCTCCTGGCCCTATATCACTCACTTATTTACCCCTATCTCACCTATGGAATTTGTGCATGGGGCTCAACAACAATTAACCATCTCAGACCACTAATTACCCAACAAAAGGCTGCAGTTAGAATGATAACAAATTCTCACTACAG